AGCAGCCGTCGTTTAAGGACAACAAAAAAATACAAAATGAAGACAGAAAATGTCGAGAGAAGTGCTGTCAAACTCTCAAAGATGGGGGGAGGCTCCAGAGAAATGTCTTTAAAGTACTCACTTAAAACCGTGGGAGCTTATACGAGTATTGTTCGGTAATATGTGTATATGTTCGTACATGTGTCACGTAGAAAAACGTTGATCGCCTTCAAAGCTGACAACACTTTTCAACTTAAGTTGACACTCAATGTGCGTTTTCTTTTTAACAGTGTTTCCGCACAACCTTCGTTTCTCGTGTCTCGCCCACACCTACTGTAAAATGGTTGTTCTCCCGATTACATACCATTTTTTTTTTTCAAGTTGATTTTAGCAGCCTTTTTCTGTTTTGATTTAACTCTCAAGTTAGTTGTTGTTGTTCTTGCACTCGAAATCACACAGAAGCCCATTTTTATTTCTTTTCTTTTGAAAAGCGTAGCAGTTTACGTTTGTAAACATGTTCTAATCGAAACAGACTTGAAAAAGAGTTATACATTTTGCAGTTTCGAAAATAATCTTAAATAGAATCCATTTAAAGTTGTTTTTACATGCAGAGCCCTTTGTCTGGAGCCGATACTGTCTCTTCAAATGTTTTTAAATATTACAAATCCTAATTGCTGGCTGGATATTCGGAAGGCTCAGATTCAAATCCCGGTGCCACCAATATCCAAAAAGTTATTAAAAATTAATCCGAATGTATTTCGGACATGAAATAATGGCTCTTCGTAAAAAACCATCAGCCGTTCGGAAGCTGCTTCGAATGAACTGTAGGTCCCTCCATTTGTTCGAAAAACATCAAGACGTAAAACTACAAATTGGAGGAGGAGCTCGGCCAAAAAAATCGCTTCAGCGCCAATTATATATATATAACCCCTCTTAAAGCGCAAAACGTGACCTCCGAAGTGTAGAATGGCGAAAAATAAATTAAACTAAACTAAAACGGTTTCAATAAATAAGCAAATATAAACGAATATTCAGCCACATTCTCAGAATAATTACAAAATCCATCCCATTCAGAGAATTACATGCCTCAAGCTATGCTTCGAAAATATATTTCTAAGAACTTGAGAGTGAAAGGGAAGCAAATAACGTAATAAAAAACTCCTGCTCCTCTTTTAATGAGCGAAAATGTTGCTAATTTAAATTTGTTTGGTCTGATTTTAAACTACTTTGTTGGTGTCTTCGTCGTGTTGGTGTGTTGGTGTCTTCGTCGTGGCGTTGAGGCTTAAGTAACAGCAATGGGTGCATCCCTATTAGGGACGCACACTGCAACTACACGCTAAAAAGGCCACCTCATAAACAATAATCTTTCGGCTTACGTCCATGATCTATTGTGGGAGGATAAGGGTGAGGATGCCTGCACCAGTGCAACCATAAGCCAAAGTGTTGAGGTACCCGCTGCTGGCTGAATGGTCAACGGGTGACTGAATAACGGATCTCAAAGGTCTCCAGGTCAGTGCTATGAAACTCCTTCTCTACACACACCGGCCATTCATACAATTTTCTGATTTACTGAAATTAGAAAAAAAATCTAAGAAAAATCAATATGTATGTCTGTGCATGATAATTGTAACGTTTCTGCTTCGACGCCTTCGAATTATGCGCATAATTTTTTCTTATTTTTCTAATAATCAACATTCAGTTTGATGATTTTTTAGTCTGGTTTTTTCGCAACTCAGTGGTGCTTTGTATTTACTGCGTTTACTTATTATTGAACTTATTTACCATTCAGGATTTCATTGACATTAAACCAATTAAATTTTTGCGTTGGAGTCTTGTGAAAGCACATCAAATGGCAACCTTGGTGAGGCACCATTGAGTCGCGACATGTCGTCACTTTGTCCTCGTCGTCGGCATCATCACCATCTAGATGGATTTGACGTTAAGTCAGCATGACAAGAAAATGTGGCATACAACTCTACATACATACATACATACGAGTATGTACTATATCTGTGAATGAGCACGTCGAATGTACTGAAAATCTTTTTGATTTGAATTTTCAATGTTACGCTTATTAAATCTGTTTGTGTGCACAAATTTCACTCAATGTTTCGAATTGGAAATAAATGTAGAAATTCTTACTAAAACACTTTAATCTAATTTTTTAACAATATTTAGAAAAGTCTCTGTCGACTATCGATATTCAAGACAGCGGAATTTTCTGAGTAGGATTGGCACAATTTTTCCAAATAAAAAAAAACTAAATCAGGCAAAGTGGAATAAAGAACAAAGTATTTTTACCAAACAAAATTATTCCTATGTAATATTTAATTCCATCTTGCGAAACACTCACACGAATTTTATTTATTTATGTCTCTTCTAACCTTTTTTGTTCTAAATAATTTTATAAGAATGAAGTTTGTTTCAAAAGAGCTTGCGATTTGATTCCTTCTCTGAGCTATTGCTACTTCTCTGTTAGCTGTGTTCCTTTTTAAATTATACAAATATAAACCATATTTATACTGAGAATCATATGTTCACATGTATGAATGATTATTCTCTCGTTATCAGCTTTGTGAGTTTTCATATTTATTGCTCTGTGTTTACATATGTAATTTTTGTATGGATAGTCACTTGAATGGGGTTCGACGTTAACTCGTAATTTACTCGGTGCGTTCCTAGTCATTCATCATCTTCATTGCAGGCGACGGATTTTTGTGATTGTTGTGATTTAACAGCTGTCAATCGCTCGTTCAGTGCAAAATGTCAATAGGATTTGTCAAAATTGCGCACTCTCGGTGCGGGTTTTACTCGTTTTTAGTCTTACCGAACGCGGTTCAGTAGGAAGTTTTACTGCCAAACAGCTCCTCGAACAGGACTGTTGTTCAGTTGCTATGTCGAATGCCGAGGGAGAAGATAGACTAGTATGCAAAATTCTGGTTAAATACCAGGAGTTTAAAGATGAAATAATACCAGTTGGTTATTGGAATGACGGATCGCCAGTAACTGGAGTAACAATAATTTCGACCAACATCTGTCGCTAAATCGTCAAGATAGTCGAGGGTTTAAGGGTTTGCATGATGTTGTTTTCATTTCCTAATCGACTCTGTTGAAGTACGCAGATCTCATTACTCCCAAAGAAAGCTGAGTGGCTACAGGTTTTCACTGTAGGGCGTGAGATTTGCGGGCCGAATCTTGCTGCGGGAAAGCTCATTCAATATAATTGAGTGAAGTAGTATTTAACAGGTAGAAATCTGAGGCATAGTTGGACAATAGACATTTTGTAGAACATTGCCGTGCCAAAAATATCAGTGGCTTGCATGGGAAATGTATCGACGACGAACTAGTTTATGCGAAAACCATTTGTATTGTAGTTAACAACTAGTATTATTCCCTGCCAGGTACTTTCTGCAGTTTATTGCAGAAGAATTTGAAAATAGAACAATATGTTTCCAATGTAATATAAAAAAATTTTAACAATTCTATAATAATAATGTGACTTTGGGCATACGTATTTTTCTCAACAGAGGTTAAACACCTATTGTAATCTACGGTGTCACTGCCAGTCACAGGATCGTTATCGTTCAGCAGTCGACTGCCATTCGCAATACGGAAGTTTCACCGTAAGCTCCAACAGAAGCCCTAAAATCTCTTCTCAATTTTCTCTCCTAGATCCGAACGGCAACCGTATTTCTGTTGGCTAAAGACCAATTCTTACTTCTGTCTGATAATTCGACAGGCATGTCCAAGAGATTATTGTTGCGAAAGAGAATAGAGAAGAGAATGTTGGAATGAAACATTTTTTTTTTCCAAACGGAAGCTCGTTTTAAATGTCATCGAAGTCATTTCATTGAATTCTTAAAGTTCGTAAATAATATTCGTAATACTCACCTTCTATGAAATTCTATAGAAAAGAAAAATTTTGTATCAAAAATAAACTAAAATAATCAAATGGATGTGGTTATAAACTCAAAACGATATAAGAGGAAATGTTAATAAAATTTTTGTGGTTTACAGAAATAATAAACTTTAGTCAATGAGGATGTATGAATATGATTGAATCGGAAGATGACCAAACCAAACCAAAAATTATTTAAGTGTAAGCAAACATGGATATGAGATATGATGAACCAAACCACTAATTAACACAAAACCAACAAAAACTAATGAACAGAAAAAGATACAAAAAAATGAGGACGAAATCGCTACATTTTAATATTTACTAGTCATACAGGGTTATCCGTTTTGCGGTTTCGAACATAAACGTAAACAAACTCCATTTAAAATATTTCTTTTCATGATATTTTGACGTCTGTTTGACGCAGTTTCTGACGGCATCTAAGCCAAAAGTTTCATACACATAAACACGGTCGTCGTGGTTGTCTCCAACACAGCTCAGGACCAAAGAGTGCGTAAGACAGTAAATGGTGTAGCGAATGGTCAGCTTGGCTTCAATTGTTGTGTAAGCTGGACTTTGTTGGAATGTAGGTGTGAGTCTAGTTGCAAGACACGCCATAATATGCCGTAAGTTTCAGCTCTTGAGAACGTCGATAAATAGACACATTCGGGTCTTCAGTAGCAAAGCGATGATAGTCCGGCCTCACATTATCTGCGTATGCGTAATCTCCTCATAATTGTCTGACTTTTAGCTAAAACTGAACATGTCTTGTTTGGCAGTTAAATCTGACAGATTTCAAAATAAAACCACAAAATGGATAACCCTATTTGCAAACACACTTATGTAAAATCTCAAAGGTTAGAAAAATGAGCATCACCAACAAATTACAACAGCGCACATTAGGGTTATTCGTTAGGAAAAACACACGCAAAAAGATTAACGCTAAAAGTGGGTAACGAGTGTGTGAGTACGAATCGCTGAATGGAGGTGAGCTCTATCGTTGGCATGAATACATATTTTTTTTACCAACTGCAAGCGACAATTGAAATTCTAGTAGAAACTTTCCAATAATGATTAGCAACTATTTTGAATGAGAACGAATGTTTCGTTTTTTAAATCATACCCTCTTTGTCAGTCGGGGCGCTCTCTGCTGCTTGTTGCTTAGCAGTGTTGCTGCTGTTGTTGTTTGTAGAAACGCGGGAGGTGCTAAATTTAGACATCTTTGGCAAATTTTTGCGACGCCCTTGCGACGCTGACTTTGTATTTGCTACATAAGCCATTCAGATGGGCATACGTACGTACATATTTCAGTTTGTTTGTTCAAATATATTTAGTTATGAATTGTTGTTTGTTGTTGTTGTTTCGCGTAATAAAATAAATATTGATACACGAAAGTGTTGATGCAGCCGGTCGTTGGTTTGGATAGAAAAAATAAAACAAAACAGAAAAATACATAAAAAATAATTCGAATAAGAAATAGCACTTAACTGGTCAGGTATGAAAGCAATATAAAAACATATATTGTATTATAATAAGAAATAAATATGTGTGAAAAATCATATATATTATGTCCAAAAATTAAAACTAATTTTCCATACTCTCTTAACAGATATTTTTAATAGCCAAATTAAATTTTGGAAATATCAACTTTTTTTGTTTTAAGCAGTCAATTAAATTAAAATAACTTTTATTGGGCTTAAAACTGTTAATTTGTCAAGGAAAAAAATTTCAGAATAATCGATTGAATTTTAAATTGGCCTAGTGAAAAGTAATCCACTATTTTTGCGCTCGGATCGCGCTAAGGCGTGAATGAGATTAGGGAATTTGTGTTAATCACTCAGCTCAGTGGTGTTGAGCGCATGTCAAAGATGGACACCAGCAAAGAGAAAGTTCCCCGTACTTCACACTTTTTCCTCCATAAAGGCGAAACGGCCACTCAGGCAGCTGTAGGAGTGAATAGCGTATATGATCCTGAAACTGCAACAGTCAGTTAAGTACAATTTCGGTCGATTTCGTACCGAAAATTGTTTTCTTAAAGATGGCCTACGGTTTGAAAGACCAATTATCGAAAATGTTGATAAAATAGTGGAAATCTTCGAGTTAAAAGCTCCATGTATTGGTGAAATACATATAAGTAAACGAGAAAAACCTCATGAACCGAATTTCCATATTTGAATCGCAGCGATTCCAATTTGAATAAAATCGATTCATTTGTAAGCAGTGATGAAGTGCCAAACGAGAACGGTCGTGATCGAAGGACAGTGAGCTGGCAAAAACGGGCTCCAAGACAGGATTGACTTCCAGGAAGGATTTGCTGTGTGCTTGCTGGGATTGGAAAGGAATCACGAGCTGCTTCCTTACAGCAGAATTCTTAATTCGGACCTGTGCTGTCAGCTTTTGGATGAGGAGAATTGCATTTCATTAAACAACGCCAGACCAGACCCATCTATCCTGACTATGGCGAGTGTAGTGTGAAGAGTCGGACTCAAAAGAAGCCTGTGAAAATCGATTGTACCATTTTTTGCCAATAAGGACAAGGAATTTCTCTGACATATTAACATTACCTTAAAAATTACAAAAAGTGACCGAACAAAACGACTAAGGAAATTCTTCAATTAAATGCAAAAAAAGTGGATTACTTTTTCCATAAAATGATTGCAAGTTTTTGAATAAATTAGAAATTAAAATTCGATACTTTCATAGCCAAAATGTTTAGACATTGCTAAATTCTAAAATGGTTTTTTTGCTTTAAGGCTTTATTCTTTGCCCCATTAGTTGGATGGGATAAAACTCCATTAAGGGGACTGGATGTTGCTTGCATTTTCTATATACCACGACGTTATCTTGAGTATTTCATAAGATTATAAAATAAATCGATCAAATAAACAGATAATTAAAAAATAAACTTATTCAAGTACTCATAAGTACACAATCAGACACACACACACACACACATTGTATATTACCATTTTTAAAGGACACAGTGTGAATTAACACATTATTCAAGTCCAAAATTAATCTATCAATAAATTGGTATGTATATGTGTATATATAAGTAAGTATATTTACTCGTACTTACAATCTTCGACACACATTAGTCGATCGTCCATCAGCTTGAGACCGGTGGGACAGGCGCAGGAGATGCGCGGGCTGCGTTCATTGATGCGCGGCGCCGGCAGGCATAAATGCGAGCAATGACCATTCACCGCTTGACAGTGATTGATGCCGTCCGGTTGGCGGTAGGGATGATAGACGTGTACGACCATTGGATGTTGCAACTATACATAGAAACATACATTGATATTGATATTGTATTATGTGATGCAGATCATTTTATCAATATTATCCACGATATCCATAATATGATATTTTATTGTTGTTGCGTTGGTGTTGACAGAGGTTGTGGTTGTTGTTGCCATTGATTGCGGTCAGCCAGCGAGTGTCAAAGGAATAATGAGAGAGGAAAGAGGAAAGTTTGTTAATCAATTGCTGGAAATTTTACGTAATTAAATTAAAAATGCATTAATCAAAAGTTAATAATATATGTATGTATGTATGTAATAATATATGTATGAAAACGTAACAAAAAAGCGGTGTTGAGGCAAATATTAAAATTTCTGAAACATTAAACTGCACTTACACATATTGACTCTCATTTATTGCATGGAAAAGGGTCTGGACAGAACTTTTTTAAAAATGAATTTTTTTCAAGGTCCGAATATGGATATTTTGGACATATCTTTTAACTGCATTATGCTTTCAAACTTTCCTTAGCATACCTAAAGCGCTTTTAATAGTAACATTTGCTTGTTTCTGTACATACTAAAGCAAGGCAATTGTTGTTTTTAAAAAAACTCTTCGTGTGAGTTTCGAAAAATAATGTAAAAAATAAAAAATTTTAATTTTATTTTCATGCTATGACTTATGGCTTTTTGCAATGACTTTTTGAAGACCTAAAGTAGTTTTAAATATTTTCATTTAATTCCTGTGATTTTTATTATGCCCTAGTGCTCATGCATGCAAGTGACGCAAATTGGTCTTATTTGACATTCTGTATTAACTCGGTCATGTACGAGTCATATACCTGGAGCCTTGGCTGCTTTCACCTTCACAGTAATGGCCTCGACATTTTTATGGCTTAGAATAAATGGATTTGGATTTGAAGAAATCTACACATTATTAATGTACGTACAAGCATACATACAGACATAAAGCGGGTAATCAATGAAAAATTTCGCTATAATATTTCATAGGTGAAAAACTGGTTGGCAAAACTACTGAACTAAAACTACACACACTATTACACTCCCAATAGAAATGTCACCCTCTCTTTTTCATATTCAAAAAAGTCACTTTAATTGTGTTTGTGGGTGAGAAAAACATTTTACACCTGCACACTTTTTCTTCGAGGTTGTCATACGTATTTAACCATGTATATAGACATGTACATATGTCTGCCTTGTGTACCTGGCAAAAGCATGAACGAAATACCAAGTGTTGCCAGCTTACCAAAAACAAAAAAGCCATTCTTAAGCTAGCTTGTTTACTCAAAAAAAAAAAAAAAAAAAACAACTAACAGATTCGCGTATATGTACTCGTACATGTGTATGTGTGCATGTATATGTGTTAGCTCGTTTATGGCTTAGCAGCCGTCGGCCATTGGCACATTTATTATAGTTGGTTATTTTTCCCAAAAAGATTGTGAAACTATCCAGCTGCGTTAAATGTAGGTCAACACACAAACATACAATATATATGTAAATATATATACACATACATATATACAATGTGTATATTCACCTGTTCTTGGGTGGGAGTATTATTTTTTGTCATGCACTTGCCAGTTGAGTTAAGAAAACGTTGATAAATACATATAAGAAGATGTGAAATGAAATTCATGAGAATTTTGTACTTTTCTGGAGCACGTGCGCATTTCAAAGAAAAGTATTGGCTTCTGCCGGTATGTACATACATGTTCTTATATGTGTATATTTTTATTTCTTTTTACTTTTTTCATTGGGTAAAGACAGGATAAAAGAAATTTGACTATGATATATTTCTCTTCCCAATATATATTTATATCATTTTATTCCTTATAATACACACATATGGACATGTAGAGAGACGTTTTTATTTTTCATTCATTTATGAATCTTAACATCAGGTCACGCTATATTTTAAAATCTTTCTTCCATAAAAGCGAAAACGAATGTCAGGCAGCTAAGGAGTGAATAGGGTTCATGGTGCTGACACTGTAATAGTCAATGATGCACAATTTCGGTTTCATCGACTTCGTTACGGTAATTTTGATGTAAAAGTTGCTCCACGGTGTAGAAGGCCAGATGTCGAAAATGTCGATAAAACAATGAAAATAGTCGAGTTTGAGCATTATATGAGCCGTTTCGATTGCCAGTAGATAAACATTGCACAAAAAAAGTTTGGTATCACTTGAAAAGCGATGGAAGCACAAAAATCTCGGTGCAAAAAAAAACCATGTGGATCTAATTTCCATCTACGAATCATTGAATTCCAAAAACCGCTCATTTCTGAAGGGGTTAATGAGTGGTGTTAAAAAGTGGACCAGTTACAGTAACGTCAAACAAAAATGATCCCGGTCTTGGTCGAACTGTAGTGAGCCGGCACAAAGTCAGGATTGTCGACCCGGTTGGTCTGTTGTGTGCTTAATGGGATTGATATGGAACAATTCACTATGAGCAGTTCCCTACGGACAAACTCTCAATTCGTACCTGTACTGCCTGCAATTGGACCGTAGGAAAGAAGCAATCGCCCCCAGGCGCCAAGCTTTGGACAAAAGGACAATGCCAGATAACAAACACCGATAATAACTAGATTAAATTAGGATCTATTGAGAATTGTGGGGAGGGTTTTCCTCAGTACTTTGCCACCAATCGGCTTGAACGGGTTTGATCTAAAATTTGAATAAGCTTGGGTTCAAACTAATTCCCGTCAAACTGGCGAGAATCACAAAAATGATTGGATAATAAGAATATACTTGACATTCAGAAATCTATGGCATAATGATGGATTAACGATTAGCACAAACCTTAAACAAGGTCAGTCGTATATGGTACTTCAAGCCACGATTATAGAGACATATTAAATTTAGCTCATAATAACATAGCTAAACAAGACATATTTTCCGCAAAATAATAAATACCAAACTCTCACGACCCCTAGATTGTGTTTTGTTGGTGGGTGCAGTATTTGGAACTCTTAACTTCAAGAGTTTTGAATTTCCAATGGAATCTCTAGAAATTATTATTTATATTAATTGCATCTTCTCGGTGCGATTTACCTTTTTCCGCTGCATTTTTGGTACGACGTACATATAAACGTAAGCTCTTTATGCACAAAATGAGTCTGATTAAGTAAAAGTTGTTTATTTTTGCTTCGCTTATTTGTTGGCTGAGCATTTGAATGTTTGCAGCACGCATAACTCAGCTTTTTTAATATCAAACTAAAAATAGTTAATCGCACATAATGAACTTAGCCAAAGAGTAATGGCTTCTATACGCACTAATGCCCAATGCATGAGGCACACATTTCCTTCTTTTGTCCATTTTCGTTACTTTTTTATATTACGATCATGACCACTCACCTGATGCAGCGCTGTTATCGCCTCCACTCCTTTGCCGTTGAACTTGTTCGCCTTGAAGACGGTCTGTTTGTCCCAATCGGTCCAGTAGATGCTGTCTTCGAAGGTTGTTATCGAGAAGGGATGACGCAGATATTCCGTTGAGTACAAAACTTGACGACGCTGTGAACCATCATAATTTGCTGACGAGATGACATTCAGTTTGCCATCAACCCAATAGATGCGCTTACGCACCAGATCCAATGTAATGCCATTGGGCCATTTCACGTCATAGTTGATGATGGTGGTGCGATGAGAGCCATCCATGCCGGCGCGTTCGATGCGTGGTGAGGCGCCCCAGTCGGACCAATACATCCAGCTGAGAAAAATCGGAGCGAATAAAGTTCAGAAACAATTGTATAAAAATAACGGATAGTTTGAGAATAGTGTGCGAGTGAGTGAGTGGCTTGTGCTTTTTTTTTTGTTGGTAACAATATTTATATGTATGCAGGTGCATTGCTTTTCTGTAGTTCACTGCATACTATTGTCAGACATGCCACACACTGTCGAGCTTAAGCTCTTTAACGGCTGAACACACATCTATGCGTACAATGTACAGCCACTGCCCTCGGAGAGACCAGCTGCTACTGCACTTTGTGTGTGACAGTTGAATGTTGATCTCCTTAAATCACTATTACCCACTCGCACACTCGCTCAGTTTCCCGCTCAATAACTCATTCATTCCCGTGGTTTTGTGTCTTCTACTTACCCTTCAATCGGATCCAATGCTATCGAGCGCGGTATATCCAGTCCATCCTCGATGAGCACTTTACCCATGTTGCCATCGAAGTTGGTTAACTCAATGGTACATTTGTGTGTGTCCGTAAAGTAGATGTGATTGTAAATCCAATCAACCGCCAAACCATCCGACGTCACTGAGTGTTCCTTGAGCACGACGCTTTTGTCGTTGCCCTCGTCAATGGGTGCCCTGTGGTCACATATGGACATATACAAACAAGTATGTATGAGGTGAACAAATGAATACGTGGAGAAGATAAAAGAAAAAAGGTATTGAAAAATCAATCGCTGGCCAATAATTGAACGAAAATATTTCGCAGATTACGTTGGAAATATAGGCCAAGGAATACAATTTTCGGAGTACGTAAAATAACTTTTTCAACAGTGAAGAACGCTACTGAAGCTAATATGTGTGTAATTATGTGTAAACTCTTTATATATAAGATTTATAAATTTCAAATGATTTTCATGAATGGCTTTTTTTTCTAATATTTAATTTTCAATAAAGCCAAATAATAAAGTTTAAACAAAGGAACCAGAAATTAAAAAATCAAACTCTCGGTTTTTACTCAGAATTATCAGAAGCTTTTCCTAAGTTATATTTATTTAATTATTTTTATTCACTTATTTTGTTATTGAAAAGTATTCACAACAAATATTTCCAAACAAAAGATTTCTGATACCAGTATTTCGAGTCTGCAGGCAAACTTTAGATAATAGGAGGACTTAGGAGAAAACGTTGCAACCCGACAAATACCGGGTTTACAAAAAAAAAATATATATATATAATATATATATATATATATATATTATATTCAATTTATTTTGAATTGGTTTCAAGCCGTGCTGATTACGTTTCTTACGATGTTGGGTTCCATAAAAACTCAACACTTTTACTTTCCAAATAATTTTACTCAATATAAAATATTCCCGAAAATCTTTCTTGATGTTTTTTCTAACAAAAGGACGGACATACAGTTTATACTAAGCCACGTCTGAACGGTTTATGTTTTCTTTTTTACGAGATGCTTTGTTTCATGTCAGAAATACACTCGGAGGGGTTGACATTCTTTGCCGAGGAGCGACCGCAATTAGAAAATTTAATTTTTATTTAAATTAATTCTCTACAATTTTCGGATGTCGGTTGTACTAGGATTTGAACCCTGACCTTGTGAATGTCCTTCTGAATGGCAGTACGCAATGCTAACCATTTCGCCGCTGTAAGTCCTACCAGTGCCACAGCTCAAAATTTAATGCATTGCTGTGGCTCTCATTAAGGTGAAATTAAGTTGGTGTTACTTCTGTGAATGCCATAGTCTAGCGTTGACAAGACTATTGAAGCGATTGAGAGTATAAATATTTCATACTAATTCGCTGCTGAATATTTTGGCACAAAGCTACGTACATAGCTACGCGTATGTACTTCATGTATGGTTCGGTCATGAGCGTATTGATAATTTGAACAGGACGTTTCAAAGACAAAGTAGTTTCCTAGGAAATCAAACATGAGCTTATAGCCACAGTTATTGAGACCACCGCATCCCATCGCTGCATGCACTTTGCTATTTGTACATACATACAAATGTGCATCTTGTGTTTTGCAATATAAGCGAAATCGAGCTTACGCAATCCGAATTCATTAAGCTTAGAGTCACATGAATGTGCAGCCGCCTTGGTGATATTGGAAATATGTCCAAGTTTATTGACATCTGTGTGCGATTTGAAATACTACTTCAGAGAGTTACAGCATGAATAGCAGTTGGGTGAATCAATTGTTTCTTGTTTTAAAAAATTTTTCGGAGTGAATAGAATATATCATCCAATGATGAAATTCAAATATCCTTTCAATAAGGCATCGCAGCTACTCCTATGTTATTATGTAGCCTGAGAGAAACAATGGATGAGGAATACGTAAAGTCTTTTTTTTCATCCAAAAATTCCTTCCAATACCATAAATTTAAAATATAAGATTTTGATATTGGATCATAATAACCGAGTGGTTAGTACTGCGTTCTGCCGTTAGAAACAAGAGGGTTCGTTGAATTTTCTACTTTCGGTCGCTCCGCGGCCGGGAATTACAAGCGCTACGAGTGTTTTTCCGACATGAAAATCGAAGATTCTCACATACACTTTGTATATATAATATATATACATATAAACAAACTAGCAGTGAGCAAAAGTTAAGAATTTAATTTTGGTTTAAATATTAATTTTCATTTCTGAACATTTTGCTGGAGCAGGCTAAATGATAAAGCTTTCCGACTTCATCGGTTTTCGGTGTCAATATTTATTTCTATATACGTTTGTAGAGTCGCCTGAGAATTCGTTAAAAGAGAATTTTCGAAACAAAATCAATTACTGAACAAATCGGATAATTGGGGGTTATGTGATGCAGTCCGCCCATTTCGATGATTTTCGGACTGAAAAAACTTCGCATCTGAAGCTTCGGTATATGCGAGCTATATGTTACAAATCTCTAATATGAAAATTCGGTCGTATATTTGCTACAGTGCCCCGATCTGGCCGCATCCGGTGTTTCTATCTGATTGACTGTACCAACTACGAAACAAAATCTCAAATCTGAACAATCAGCTTCTGTTTATATAAGAGTGCGCTGGCTGGCCTGAATGTGTTCTCACGGATAATTTTCGATAGTTTTTGACATTACACTCGCCTATCTATGCTCCACAAATATTTAAAATTCGCTCAAAAAAATTCATGGTTCCACTATCGTTAGATTGCCATTTTTAAAAGGCGGCTTCTTGTTCACCTTCGTTGGTGCAGTTTTCCTCGAATAATACTCACTTGTAAATACTTTGTGTGGATACATCACTCCAAAATATCATGCCTGTCCGGAAGACAAAATCCAATGCAGTTGCCGATTTTGTATTATTCACAATCGATGTCATTTCCATGTGATCCAAAGCGATTTTCCTAATATCATGCCGACGTGCCAATAGCAAGGATGCATGTCCTTCGGTCGCCTTGCAGCGAGTATGATTACGTGGATCACGCATATAGCCCGCCTCGCATTCACACTTATAGCCGCCAACCTCATTGATGCAGATTTGCGAGCAGGCCGCCGGATCATCACATTCGTTAATGTCTATGCAGGTTTTATTATCGGTCAGTTTGTAGCTAAAGAGGGGAGAAAAGAGAGAGTGAGAGTGAGAGAGTGAGGGATTTAAGGCAAACACAATTAACAAACAGTCAAGCAAATATGCGCCTGATGAAAATAATCGTCGAGTAAGCAAGCAAGCAGGACGAAGAAAAAAGAGTATGTAAGTATGTAACGTTGCTGGTGTCTGACATTCAATAACGGTATTTTATATAGTACACAAATACAAGCTGAAGCGGAGGAGGGTAGGTTGGACATGGAGAGTTTCTAAATTGATTGCTTCACGCCTGACTTGAGGTATCAATACGAATAGCAGTCTCAGCCAATATAGACAGACACACTTGCGCGCATACATGCATACACGCATACACGCATACACACCGGCACTTTGCCATTGAGGGAACTTGAGTGGCTGGCTGGGCAGTCAAAGTTGTTTAAACCAGCTTCAGGCGAAATCAAGCACCTACGCTCACGCCCACGCCCACTTCTATCGCTGAACGATTTCGTAGATTTTACTGTATCTAAGTATGTGTGTGTGCGTACACATATGCGTGTATATTGCCTTCTCAAACACTGCTTAGGATTAGAGCAAATGTGGTTGGAAACGAGATTGGAAGCGAAAATTAACGTTGCCTTAAGTAGACCAATACTGTTGTATGTGCATATGTGTGCATGTCTGTCCGTCGTGTATAAGTGGTTGTCTGTCGGTTGAACGAATATACAGATGTACACTCCTATGCATGCGCGTGCGTAATGGCATATGAACATGGCAGTATTGGGATTTCGGAAATGTTTAATTAAAACCTGTTTTGTACGTGATTTCCTTGCTTATAAGATTAAATTTGACCTCACGCTCGGAAATGAGGTGAGGAAGGATATTCGATTAAGCGTGCTGCAGTTAATGTGATTTAGACGTGAAGGTTTAATATAGGATAATGCTTTTTAAGTAAAGTAATGAAAAGGATTTCTAGTATCTTTCCAAAATATTTTTTTTTATCTAAAGATTTCGAATCATTTTGTTCAATTGCGGACATTTTGAATAAGTAGAGGCTAAACCAAAGCGAAATAAAATTTAAAAACCATTTTAGGTATATATTAAATAGCGAAAGGTTTCGATAACTGAAAGCCAGTTATAAAAACTTCATATGTAGTGCACAAAGCTATCTCCATTTCGCGTAACGATTGTTGTTAGCAGACACCAGCAACATCCACTCCACAGCGATTGTCCTAAGATTATGATGAACACTAACTCTGTGATCGCCCAGTGCGGTTATTTAAACTTACCCTGAATTGCATTCGCAGCGGTAGTCAATCGGCTGATCCACACATTTGTGCATGCAACCGCCATTATTCACTGCGCACTCATTCACTGAACATTTGCCCGCTGGCTCATCCTCGCCGTCCGGACAATCCTTTTTACGATCGCAAACCTTCGATAACGGTATACACTGACCGCCGCCGCAGTCGAAATGTGTTGTTGAATTGCATTTGGTGGTCTTGGCAATGCCTAGGGAGAGAACATAAGCAAATAAATCTCTTAGCCAGTTCATAATTTCCTTGCACTTCTCATCAACTTACTGCATTTCACCTCATCACTACCATCCGCACAATCGGCCACGGAATTACACGTCAAATGTCCCGCTATACACGAGCGATCACCACACTGAAACTGATCCGGTCGGCATGTGGTATTACGGCAATTCGCCTGCAATTCGTCATCACCGTCGGGACAATCCTTTTCGCCGTCACACAGCCAGCTGTGATGCAGACACGTGATGCGATCGCGACACTGAAACTCATGCCCGAGACACGGGGAGACAAAGTGTGTGGTATTCTTGTCACAGGACTGCTGAAAGACCAATTAAATGAAAACGAGAAGATTATTTAGAAGATTTGACAATGAAGTTATCATTTCAAAAAAAAAAAAAAAAAAAAAAAAAAAAAAAAAAAAAAAAAAAAAAAATAACACATTCATATTTGAAATAAATAAATAAGAAAAATAAACAAATAACTTGAGCTTTCCAGTTGAAGCTTTTCAAATTTTGTTATCTTGTTTTAGTGTTGGAAATTAGTTTTTATGGCTTGATTGGTTTTTTGGAGATTTGATTTAGAATAGAATTCTTCACAGACACCTCAGCATTCTGGACGAAAAGAAATTATTTCGTAAGATGTGGGTCACACACCACGACACCCCCTAAAATTTAAGCCAGATCAGAACTTGCATGAGAACCAAAACTTAATTGTTTTATATTAAAAGGGGGTTATTGCTAGGCTTTGTGCAACAGCGTAATATATTAACAGTTAATATTTAAATGACCTTCCTCAGACAAATGGATGAAGACAACGCATATTGAAAGGATTTTATCAGATCCATTGGTGTATCAGTTTTTGATATGGAATATTGCAGGCGACTGAAGAAATGACTGACAGCGCGTAAGCCAAAGACGAAGAAGAAGAAAAGGAATAAAATTACAAACATTCAGCTACATATTTCTTCCTCTTACACTTTACTTTCGATAAGCTAAATTTTACTATTTCTTTACAATTAATCTAATTTTACTTTCTGAAGGGATTTTGCTTAATAACCTGGAAAATAAGCTATAGTTGTTGCCAAAAGCTGCATAAGGAAAACACACAATGAACTCCCAGGAAATTCAACGTTCTTTGCATAAATGCAAATTTTGCTTTATTGTAGCGGAAAATTTCGAAGAAGTAGAACAACTTTTTTGTCAAAAACTCTGCTTATGCATGTGCAGACATACATACACACATACCCTCAAGTATTTGCACAAGAAAGGTTTTTGTTCTGCAGCCTCCGCCCTCCTCATATGCTGCACATACGAGTATATACTGATATATATATATATATATATTTACTATTACTGCTTCCAACCACTCGATTTCCGGCTGTGCAAGTTCCTGGTGGCCAGAGACAGGCATGAGGAAAATAGAAATATTTTCCACTGTTGCACACAAAAATGATAATGCAAAAGTCACATGCACCAACAAAAAGAACAACAAAAACAAATGTACTATTTGGTGAAGAAGCATAAAAAAGCGTAGCTTTGTGAATTAGAAAACAGAAATTTATGTATGCACAAAAATGTGTGGGCAATGCAAATTCGGCTTCACGTTCCTTGAGCTCAACAAAGCCGCTGGGGAAGGTTAGAGAGAAAGTACGAGTATTGAAGATATGCAAAACAAATTTCATAAGAAAAACCTGTGTTGCTGGTTGAGTGCACTTGTGTTGAAGGCAACGTTCGTTAGCTTGTGGCTGGCACATGTGGCTGGGTAGTGGAATATTCTAAACTGTTGCAGCCGGGTAGAGAATAGAAGCAGTGCAACAACTACAACCATAATATGCAACATTCGTTATTCGCATTGCGAATGTCTATTGCGTGTTTATCGTAATGTGTGAGTCAGCACATACACATACGACTATTTGCTGTTAGTGTATTGTAAAAGTTCATACATACGCGCTGAAAAGTATGCAATACAAATTTTTGGTGCAATTGTGAAAGGTATTTGGAGGAAGTTTGAGGTAAATATTGCAATAAAACAATTCCGTAAAAAATTTAATCTCCAAGAATTCAATTTAATAAGCCAAGCTACGTAATTTTCGGCCGAGCTCCTCCGCCAATTTGTGGCATGCGTCATGGGGAGCTATGAAATGAAAAATATGTCAGAAATACAAATGGAGAGCTTGACACTAGGGTATGCGAGAGCGGACGCAGCTCGATACTCGTTCTTGGCTCAACTGTTTAAATGTTTTTTTTTTTTTTTGGAAACCAAGGCGAATTCACAAAAGTGAGTACAGTAAAACAAATACAAAATCTACCGTGTGCATTCTTTTTCGATTTCACCGCGATTAACAAGAGCAAAGACTTCCATTCTGGTTTGTCTGGTTTTTTTGTAAAAGAAAATATCAAATTTTCCATTAAAATGCTCGAACTGATCGAACATGTATGAGCAAATTCTTGAAATCTGGCATATGTACATACATATGTATGTGTATGCATGTATATCGATTGCGGCGACATCGGGAGGATCAATGTATATGTATAGTTTTCATGTACATATAACGGTATTTGGAAGACAAGGTCAGAATGACGAGAAGTTGAGTTGTGTTAGCCATTTGCGTATGCTCATCTGTTTACACGCAAAATAGTCCCTCTGCTTTCGAGATATTTACAGGATAGCATACGCGTATACATATAAGAGTATATACGAGACATTTTTCAGATTTGAGATTTTGTGCAATAAATTTGTAGAAAAATCATGTAAGAGCATGAAATTCGGTAATCTGCACACATATGTATGAAACGGGAAGACAACATTCATATAGACATATAGCTCCCACGAACCGCTTTTTTCGGATAGATTACTTTGGTGAAAACTCCGTCAAAAAGCATTTGAGAGTAGGAAATTTAGTATTATGCACTCGTATCTACAAATAAACATTGCCATCGAAAATCATCAAAATCGGAGGACTATATCATACAGCCCCCATGCAACTGATTTGTTCGAGTACGAGGTTTTCTTCAATTTCTTAATTTCTTAAATATCTTAAAGTGCTGGTGTATTTAAATGAATATTTGTAAATTGCTTAGCACTGAAATAAAACTTCGCAGACAACCACACTGAGCCAGACTTCTGATACTGATACTTCTAAGAAGTTGTAGCGGGATCTCTGCTGCCGACGTAAGCCGCAGCCACAGCAGCAGAGATTTCGATTGCAATGCAAAGTACTTGTGTGCATTAAAGGCCAAAGTGTTTTAAACTGCCGGAGCCAAAAATTGTACAATAAAAAAAGTGAGAAAAGTCGCGAAAAAATGCAGAAAGTTGGCAACAGGATTAGGGAAAATGGAAAGAGTGGAAAATGGCACGCGGAAAGAATTAAAACACTACGGAATAGCAGCTGTCGTAAACGCCAGCGGTGCCTTTTAATAAACAATGCGCCAACTCGAAATCGCAAAAGAACACGCAAAAAAGTCAACAACTTGGAAAAAATTAACCCAGCAAAAAGAGCACACAGAAACGAAGTTCAAATAAAAAAGGAAAAGTTTTTTCTTGGCGTTAATGCGAAGAAGCGAAAAATCCACAGCACCTAAAGTACAAAAAACTTTTCCCATTACACCAAAACGCTTTGAAAGCACCAGAGTGGAGGAGGTGCTAGGATGACAACCTGGGAGACGATACTCGAGTTGCGCATAGAAGAACAAGAAGTTCAATGCTGAACTCACATAGAGCAACAGAAGTTCGCGCCGGCATAGAATTAACTCATCAAAGCCGTTGGAGAAGGAAGAGAATAACGTCCTGAAAGCGTGGCCAAATTAAGGTGCAACGATGCCAGCAAAATACGCCAATAATCCGCGCTATCAGCAATTTGCAGCGTGAATACAAGCCAGCGTATTAAAATGCAGCAAGGCACGCCGAGCTGCGCGGATTGTGGTGGGGAGAGCGAAAGTAGTAATAAAGTGCAAAGAGGAGCAGGAGAAGCGAGCTATTCACGCTGTGATAATGCTAAGAAGAAACAATAATAGCAACAACGACCAGCGGTAGGAGTCATGGTAGTAGTGGCAACATTAAAAACATATCCAACAGCAACTACTACACAACAAACTATTCAACCGCAGCGAAAACATATATCCTTCGTTTAAGCACGCTCTGACGGAGGTCAGTTGGCCGCTCACTCGCCTACCCACAGACAGCTAACTGGCTGCTGGCTGGTGCCCCCGCAGTTGCTCGATTTGCTGTGCTTGTGTACGCTTGATTGCTGGAAAATACGCTGGAGATTAATTACACACAATAAATAAAAGTTTTGCGTAGGCGAGGGACGATGGGCGTGGTGCACGCCATACAAAGTTGAGTCAGCACTCAGCGTTGAACTCTATGTTCTCATACATACACGTACATACACATACATCACGCTGTGCTTTTATATTTACAACTTCTCTCAGGTCTTAATCCTTTGAGCTGTGTGCGTGTGGTGGTGTTTGTGTGCCTTTTTCATACTTTAGAAACACAAAAATGCAATAGAGTTGTACCAACATTTACTTATTCTTCTTACTACGTAGTTGTTGTTGTTATTTTTTAAATTACACGCCAAAGTATCAAACAATGCCTGTGTAAAAGCATCAAAAACAGCAACAACAACGACCACAAACAGCGCCATTTGATGTAACAGAGTTCGAGCAGCAACACGACCAACTATTTGCGGTCGGCGACGCGCTCAGAGCTTTCAAAGTAAAAAGTCATATGAAAGTTTAATTATACTTTTCGATTTTTTGATTGTGTTTGAGTTTCGTTGCTGCTGCTAATTGGTGAGCTTGGGTTGAAGAGTTGGGAGAGATTTCCAAGTAGACTGCTTTGTCGTGCTGTTTTCCCGATTTGCTTTCTCAGTTCTTAAGAACGCTAAATGTACGGTAGAAGGGTAGAACAAAGAAAGAGAAAAACGCTTTGTGATCTCCAGAAATGGTACGGAAATGATTTTATTTTTGTTCTATATTTAATTATAAAAACCGAAATTCTTATCGGGATTAACAGCTGAAGGTTATATTGATTGTTATTTAAGCCTCTTCCTCTAGCCCTCTCGCTTTTCGCAGTTCAGAACCAAATTGGAAAGTGCAAATTTTTGGTCACATTTGCGTTAAAATATCTATCTCTAGGTACTGTATAAGAATCAAAGTTCTAGTAATGCCGTGAAAGACATCAATCAAAGTTATGAAAAGATACAAAAGATGATGAGTCAGCAACCGATCGGTTATTGGATTTGGGCAACTTTGAGCTTTCAGAACTTAAATGAAATTCTCTATGTATCAGACATCCAGTGCAAGGTTTGGGTTCACCAAATGAACTTGATGTTGAAGACTTTCTTAGCATGGTGGGAGTCTTCAAACGCACCTATTCTTGTCTTAAAATAAGAAACAGGCGTTCGCTACTGCAGTCAAAGTGAGCCCCACAAACGAAAATATTTAGATCAATTGGGTCGTCAGACAGAAGAGAGTGGGCCGCGCAGCCATATGATTGAAGTGGCGGAATGTTGGGGATTATCCATGAAGGCAAAATCATTGAAAATTGTTTATCCGTCTTTCTTTTAACAATTTTAATACACAAACATTTTGTGGCCCACCCGTTACTGCATGCTTGACGCTTACCGTAGAAGCGCTGTACTACAACTTTTGCCAAATACAAACGTACATACATGTGTACTCGTACGTGTATGTAGAGAGTCATGAACACTTATCGTGTCTCGGTAGAACTTTGAACTGAATTTTATTGAACTGCAATATAGACGCTTCAAATTTATTGCCGCATACATACGTGTACATATGTATGCATAAGTACATAAGCAATTTCATATAGATATGTTTACATTGATACTTGCTCTTGTTGCGAGCAATCAGTATTGGTTTTTAATGAGCTCTTGGGTATACAATTTTTGCTTGTTGCAAACTTTTACAATTATCGAAGGAATGAATTTGTGGCATTGCACATATTTACAGACATAGGCGTATACAAGTGTTGTGGGAAAAAACATTTCACTAATTTTTCTTGTCAATAAATTTTGTATTTTCGGATAGGTTGTCACAATCTACTGAAGACAATAAATCAATTTCAGACTACGAATTCCGTATTTAATTTGAAGAATGTTTTTTTTTTTGAACAAGAAAACTTTTAAGCAGAGCTATGAGAGTTTGGTTAGGCGTTGAAAATGTACCAAACAATCGAAAGAAAGTTATTTAATAAACGTTAATAATTGATGGGGCCATGAGATATTAATTGATTTCCAGGGACAGTTTTTATTTAGGGACTACAAATACTATCAGGTGTACAATTTTGCTTCCACCGTTTTCCGATAGGTGGCTGTACGGGCTGAGGCTGGTTGAAATACATAGATGATAATGCCTTTAAAGTGAGTGTGGACAGCGCCTAACGAATTGCCATCGCCGTTTCAGTGACAGTTGTTCTTGTTTTCGTATTATTCTCGCTCAAAAATGTCCATTTATCGCCATTTGCAGGAAGTTTTACTTTTCTGTTACAATTCAAAAAAAAAAATGCAGCTGAAGCGCATCGAATGCTCTCAGAAACTTACGGTGATGCTGCTCTGAGTGAAAGAACGTGTCGGGAGTGGTTTCAACGTTTTAAAAATGGTCATTTCGTTGTCGAAGACAAACATGGTGGTGGAAAAGAGAAAACCTTCAAGGATTTACTACGAGCTCTTAAAACCGGGTGAAACCATAACAGTAGATCGCTACCGAATGCAACTGATGCGCCTTAGTCGCGCGCTAAAAGAAAAGCGGCCACAATATCAAGAGCGACATGACAAAGTCATCCTCCAACACAACAATGCACGGCCTCACGTCGCAAAAGTGGTCAAAAAGTACCTGGAAACGCTGAATTTGGAAGTCTTGCCCCACCCGCCGTATTCCCCAGATGTCGCCCCTTCTGACTTCCACCTATTTCGTTCGATGGCACGCGGCCTGGCAGATCAACATTTTCAATCCTTCGAAGAATTGGAAAAATGAATTTCTTCATGGATAGCGTCAAAAGAGGACTCTTTTTTCGAGCCGGGATCCGAAAATTGCCGGAAAAATGGGAGAAAGTTGTCGCTAGCGAAGTACAATACTTTGAATAATATATCTAAATTGGTCGTATATGTGCTATAGTCGTGCGCTCTTGTTGGTTCTCACTATTTACTTTAGGCCAAAGTTATGGTATACTAATAGGAAAGGTATAAAAAAGTCAAATTAATTCGGAAAAAACGTCTTTGTTAATAACTTACTTTTCCGCATGAAGACTGATTACCTTGAGAGATATAGTCTCAGGGTACTAACATATGTGTAGACCTTTCTAGGAAGGTCATATTTACAAGGCAAGACATCTGAGAAAAGAATAGCGTTCCAACAGACATCAGGATATTACAAACCGAACTCTCGGAACTCACTTCTTACTTTAAACGGTGCAAATTAGAACTGTCTGAATCCCCTTTAGTTGAAGGTGGCACCTGTGGATGTTCCTGATTAATTTGAAATGAAAACTCCTACTCCTGACTAGTAAAGTAGTCAGAAATAACAATGGAAGCACCAAAACTGCAAAAGAAAAAACCAAAAAAGTGCCAGGAAAAGAAATAGCAAAATGAAACTGTAACTGCAATGGTAGAGCACTTTTTCCATTTCATGCCACACCACGTTGCCACAGAATTTAATTTAGCGTACACGCATTCGGAATGAAAACGTAGAAACAAAGGGAAAACCGCTACGAGGTTGGGTGGAGTTACCCCGCCTCGCCAACTGCAAATAGTAAGCGTCAAAAAGGAGAAGATAAAAAAATCCAAACCCGCCTGCACGTTGGGAAAGCGGTAAATGCTGACCGTACATGGGTGAGCAGCAGCTGGAGGAAAGTTAATTCAAATTTAGCACCGAATTCGAAACCAAAATGTGGAGCTCATTTTTCGTTTGCACCGAAGGATGTGATCAGCTTGTGTTTTTGCGCACACGTGAGAATGCAGAATGGCGACAGAAACATTAGCTGAATGCAACTTAGTCTGGGGTTTTTTGCTGGCATTGTGATTAAATTCATGACGGCCATATTGCCCGGCGCTTGGAGGAGCAACTTTGAGGTATTCCAAAAAACAGAAAAAAAGCAAAAAAAAAAAACATTATAAACGGGAATATTGGCTGTGTGCATGTGTGAAACTACAGATGGGCTGATCCGCAGGGAACTGATACTCCACTGCCGGGCATCGTTAGGAAGTAGCAATGCAATTTTTGTTGTTGCTTTTAGAGCAGCTGGTGTTTTGGGAAACTTAATGTTTGTGTTCTCACTTTAACGCGCTTGAGTGCACGCACACACGAGAGTCCTTACAAGTGCACGTTACACGCCCAATTGTATTTCACTACAAGTGTATGTTTATATTCATTTCCATTTCCATTTTGATTTTGAATTTCAGCACTCATTTTGTGTTTTTTTAAAGCTCATTCTTTTACTTATTTTAATACAGAAGCTGGAGAAGTAAATATATTTGAATTACCAACAACTGAAACGTCGAGAAGCTGAGTTCCGAAAAACTTAAAACACTCGGACTACTAGCCCTAACAAGGCTTTTTTTTTTCAAAATTATCCGTATTAGATCTATACACTTATACATGCGTTAGAACCAACTGTCTAAACACTTTTGCCACTCCTAATGAGGTATTCCAAAACACCTGCCTCTTCAGGTCTCGAAAAACTTTGATAAGAAGAAGTAGTAATTCGGAGCCAATGCAGAACTCATTAAAAGTGCAATTGTTTCAGTCGATGCGTGAGTGCTCGCATTGCCAACGTGATTGAATTCACCATACCGTCGATAATCATTGGTCCTTTATGGAGTAATCCTGTTGAGATAATTCTCGTCGCAAGTTGTAAAGAATCATCTCGAGTTAATATTATTTTTTGGTTGAGACGAAATATCTATCTACGATGAACTGACAAGGCTAAATTGCAGCATTTGGATTGCCAAATCCCGAAACCCATAATACCACGATAAAGTGGATTCTCTTAGTATTTCCATTGTGATTGTTGGGTATATACTATTTTTAAAATGAGAAGACTTTTGTGAATTAAAAGCATTTCACTTTTCGCTTAATTAGACATAGAATTTTTAAATAAAATTTGCATTGCAGAGGAATGAACATGAGTGCGAACAAATTTTGAATTGAAAAATACTTGTTACACACTGCTTAGGGGGGTAGAGGGAATATATAAAGGTTTAACCGCAAAGTGGACTTAAGCAAGTCGATAGTCTAACATTATGCGTATCAGCTTCTAAAATTTTAAATCCCTGCGCCAGTAATGATTCAATTTATTCTATTGAGAAGGGCAGGAATGAATTGGGAGTAGACCCCAAATATCTAACCAAACGCCCGAAAGGCCAAAAACTAAACCAAAAGTGATTCCTCACTTCCTTCCTCATTCATAGGCTCAATTTATCCCTATCCAACTGCTTTAACTTGTCCCGAAAAAAAAAATAAATGCCCATTAGACTTTTATAAATAATTTCCAAACGAGATTCTAAGAAAGTCCGGGGTAAATAATATCGCGGTGGTGTCGAGTGAGTCTCGAGATTTAAGTCTTTGGCTTTTTCCAAATAAATAGTGCGCAAAAGGGTAACGTTTAAAATATTCGTTACTTTCAGCATACCAAATGTCCATGAAATGTTCTGAAGAAATTCTCAATTTTTCTTACAAACGGCAACTCTTCTTCAACGAAAAGCTTTGAATAAATTTCTAAATTTCATGACTCATTGTGGTATTAAATTTCACATTGTTGTTGATTTCACAAGCGGTAAGTATTAAATACTAAATTTGAAAAAATATACGTACAAACAACAACTACTCACCTCCTCGTCGGAGCCATCTAGGCAATCTGGTTCACCATCGCAAACCCAACGTTTGGTGACACAACCGCCATCTTTACACGTGAATTCGGTGGTTGGGTCACATGCTTTCGGCGGACAGCCCTGCTCGTCGCTGCCATCACCGCAATCGTCGTCGTGATCACATACCCAACGCTTTTGTATGCATCGTCCATTGCCGCAGGTGAACTCGTCGGAGCGGCAGGTCTCATCTGTAGCGTACGGTAGTGGCAGCAGCAACAATAGCAAATGCACATTAAGTACATTTGGATACAGCAATGATAGTGGCAACGAGATAGAGAGAAGGAGAGAAGAAATATGCTATTAGCAAAGTATAATTAATTTTGCTCTGGTCATTATTAATACAAAGGAGGATTTTAGTGCATGCATAGATATTTATACACACATACCTGTATGTATATACACATGTCCGTAGACAGTTGGATTAGTTAGTGGGGTGATAAAATAACTAAAAGGTGAGTAAAACAAAACATGAGTGTAAAAATACATATACAAGATGCTGGTGCTATACTGTGAGCTTAAAATACATACATACATGTGAGTATATTATTAATATAATATAAGTAAGTAAGCTGATATCTAGTTAAAAGTATTTGTACTGCTCTATTTGAGGTAATACGTCTATATGTATAAAGTAATTATTAGTAAAGTTGAAGCTAGTAATTTAATACCTAATATTTTTCCAATAACAAAATCCAAAAATATTGAGGATTGAAGTAAAAGCGTGTTAAGCAAAAATCATGTAGAAGCTCAGTTGGCCAGAAATATTGTCCATTGCCGAATTGTGAATTTTGCGCTGTTAGTTTTTAATTTTGCTAAAAAAAAAACATAAATAATAAAAAAAATTTTTTTGGAAAGTAGGCCACTGAGATTATAATTGAATTTTACTTATTATTGGCTATTGCCTGGACGTACAGATACCGTTAAATATGACAGAGTATGCTCATGTTCAAACTATGTCGAGTTGTCTTGACCCAGAAGCCGACGGTATTAGGTCCGTATTAAAAATTTAAGCTTAATAGCTATTATATGTTAAGAGATTCGGTTGCTAGCAATTTAAAGCATTATGCAATAGTACTAAAAAGAAATATTTTCTACGTTTTTGGGTTAGCTTTTTTAAAAATTAGCCAAATGTATTCAAAGCAAAGGAAATTATATAGGTGTATATACATAATTACATATGAACTAACTACATTCACTATCTATGTATGAAAATATATTTACTAAAAGATACAAAAAATATGCGAGAGAACCTTAACCCAGCTTGGGTAATAACGAAATAATTTACAAAAAATAATATCGATGGAGTAAAACCAACACCAAAAATAAATGGATTAGCATCCAACTGATATCTAACAACATTACCAAAAAAAAAAAAAAAAAAAAACCATTTATATTTAATAAAGGCCAAAAAGTGCAACGCAACCATAAGGAAGAGACAGTTTTCCTTTATAAACACGGATAAGAGTGTTTAAGTAAAAAGTGTTTGGAAAGTAGATTCTTATGAGAAATTATTGAAAATTAATTGATTTTGCTTTATTATCTTACTGCATGAAGCCTCATCGGAACCATCTGAGCAATCTCTGTTTTGATCGCACATCCATGCTAATGGAATGCATTCACCCCCGCCGGATTTACAAGAATACTCATCGGGAGAACAGGTTTTCTTTGCTGTAAAAAATTGCATATAAAAAATGAATTAACACATGGGAATCTTATTAAATTATGAAGTCCATTAGTTTTTCTTTTGATTAAGGTTTTTGGTGTTTGTGTGGTTTTAAGTATTGTGTTTGATATCTGTGTATTCACTCCAAAGATATTCTCTCTTCTTTGGCTGCGTGTACATAAACAATTGCTGGGAATAACGCTAATGAGTATGAGAAGAAACTTGCCTTTTGCCATCACAAATATCTACATATATATGAAACATTGCATTTATTTTATATTCAATCGGTAGCAATTTGAATCTGTACTCATGTCCCTGCGTTCGCCATTTCGACGAACCATTTTCGCTCATTGCCAATACTGATTTTCACTTGCATGCCAAGCATTTACCGTTATTAACGCACAAATTCATTTCCATCATGTGCCAAGTAGAAAATAATAGTACTTGTACAAACCATTACACCAACAATAAGCAGCGGCATGGCTATTTTGATACTAAATTTGTAATTATCCTTTATTTGTGGTTGATTATATGCTTTCACTGTAATTGTGTGCACTGAGTATTGATATTAAATGAGCAAATATGGTATGCCAATAATTTACATACATACAGACATACATTAATTGCATTACATATATTGCCTAAATGCATTCGTATACACACATACATTAAAACACACATTCATATGGCAAAAATTTCAGAAAATTCCACTAATTACCTCAATTTCAGTCTATTGGAAATGTGTTTGTGTATATCGATAGCATCAACGCACAAATGTGTACATATGTATATGTACATAAATTTGAAATTCTCTAAATTACTCAAATGCAAAATATTTACTCGATCATTCTAATGAATTCGACGGGTTAATTCATGTATATATGCAGAGCTTAAAACAAGATTTTTAATTAATATTAGCAAATACATTTTTCATGTTAACCAGCTATTTTGGTTTTAATAGTGCAAAATAATATATTGTGATTTTGACATTTGGAATTTGTTGGACATTATTTTATGTTTTTTGTTGCTCTGGTGGGTGTGAAAGTTCTGCTCCTTTGCAAGGCGTTTTCCGAATACCAGGTCATAGATGAATTTTCACCACAGCACCGCCATTGATTTCATTGTGCTGCAGCCTTTGACACAGATCGCAGGAAGAGTGCCTTGGGCAGTTTGTAGTCCTTTATTAGATCTGCTGACTAACGAAGATGCTCTATGTAGTTTTCCCAATTATGTGAATTGTGTGTTGTCCCCCTTTGCTTTGTGTCATGAATGCAAGCATACTTTGAATTCCTATTATTTTTCCTGCTCCTGCGTCAGTCAATTATTTTAGCAGAAAAATTCACTTATATGTAGTCATTTAATACATACATGTATGTATGTGTACAGAGTGCCATTAATAATTTCTTTAATTAACAGCGCTGTGTCACCAAAATATGTACGTAAAGAAAAAAGGTGAAAAGAAAAAGAATTTCCAGCAACTAATGGAAGTTGAAACTTCATTATAAGGAATTTCCCAAGAAACTCGTAGACATTATTTCACAAATATGGCATGTGAAAATATGTTAAAATGAAATAAGGTTAGAGAAAGTGGAGGCATGGGGAATGCATATCAAAAGTATTTAGTAAATACTGGGAGTAGAAGTACGGGCGGAGAAGACATTGAAAAACTTGAAAAAATCACTCTTTGCTTATGCGGCATACATGTATATATGTAAATAATAAAAAATATTGCTTTACCATGAGACAGCACCAGGCTGCTATACTTAGTGTTGCACATAGGAACTAAAAGCCTTTAAAATTTAATTATAATTAAATTTAATATTTACTAACGGAACTGACATGCATGTATATATATATGTAGATGAGCGAAAGCAGTGTTCCATTTGTCTAGTATATCTGTATATGTAAGTAAACTACTTTCTCCGTACATATCGCCGATGTAGAAGTATACGTACGCATATCGAACACTAATTTAATATATTGCCTTTGCTCGAATGTCCAAAGCGTACTGTTGTCTATTATTTATGAATAGGAATTTAAACTTTGTTACTGGAGGATAGCGAAATTACAAAAATTTATTAATATATATTATGTAAATATTAATATATAGACCCAAAGTAACGATGACTTTGAGTTTAATAGAAAAATTTTTAATTTTAGTTAACAATTCCAAAATATTATTATACCTAACAGTTATCAAAACAAATTTCCTTTTGTTTAATTTTAAGTGTGCTGACGATGTCTTACCAAGCAGTCACTTAAGAGATCAAAAGTAAAATAAATAAAACTTGATTGTAAGTTTATTCTAAAATTGAAGGAGGAAAATATTGACTTCGCAGAAAGTCTACACTACACAAAGCATATTTTCAATTAAAGTAATAAATAAATAAATTTAATTTAATCTTATTTAATATTAAAATTTAATTTTTAGTTTTTATTCTTTATCTTCATGTGGTTTTAATGTTTTCAGTGCAAATCAAATTTTACTTTTTGGTTCACTTTTTTTTTTTTAGCATCTTGAGGGGCAAAAGATGAGCTGAATAAATAAAAACTTGAATTGATTATGAAATGATCGCTTTATGAAAACTTAATTTAATTTTATTTAATGCAGCTCGGTATAATTTGACTTTTTTACGTAAAAACTTTATTTCGATTAAATATAAATTAATTTAATTATTTAATATTATTTAGTTGAACGGAAATTAACCGAATTTATTTTTTTAATTGAATTTTTTTTAATTTTTTACTTTAGTTTGTTATTCTAAGTTTGTTTCGAATGTTTCATATTAATTATTTTATTTCAATGCAACTTAATTAAATTAATTTTATTTTGTATTCTATTATCTTGTCTTTGGTTACTTATTTTGAATTCATTTATTCTACCTGTATCTTTGTAAAACTACAAAGCCACACCCTTCTGACATCGCTTCGCTTTAACAATTAAATAAACATTTTCCAATTCGTTACATTAAGTTAATTGAGTTTCAGCGGATTTTCCGAACGACATGACGTTTTGTCATCCTTGGCATACAGCTTTCTGCACAAGAGTGAAGAAATACAAATTTACAAATACATCCGCAGATATGTCCTCTTATAAATATTTCACTTTTCAATCGAACTCCAGATAGTATTGTTTATTACATTCAGAAAAGTTGAAAGTGAAACTAAGTGAAAGCTGCAAACTCTTTCTCATTCTCATTAGTGGCAATGCAAATAAATAATTTTAAAAGCATAAATATAATTACGACTTGGGACATGAAACGTACGACGAAATGTCTGATTGGGCCTAGACGATGTGGCAATCAAGCGCACACAATTTCATTAACACTGTCTGCACAATGTACTATTGTGGGGAAATCGGGCTGGGTGCCAACCACAACAACAAATCACATTACCAAGCTCTGCCTTTCAAAGGCCCACACTTGGCGTCTTTCATAATATATACAGCTAAGGTTAAGGTACGTGTGACTGACTTTGAAAATGATTTTTTGATTATATGTCAACATCGAGGGTGTTTTTACGTTTACATAGTTGTTGGTATTTACTTTAACGAGCAAAGCAAATATTCCGCGACATTGGCTCTTCGCTGTTTGCCATTTGTTGGATTGAAGTGCGCAGGATATGCGACAAAGTGAGAGAGTGAGTATTTAATTATGATGTTAACAAGTCTTGGCGAACGGTTCATCCTCATCGGAGTGGACGATTCAGAGCAGAATAGACAGGTGGCTGAACAGGTGATAAAGGAAGCAATATGGTCGGGCAGTAACAAAAAGTGAAATGTAATGCTTTACGACTTGGAACAGCCATGCATTGCACTTATAAACACATTTTTATTCCGCAGTACATCTTCTTTATTTTCTTTCGGAATTTCAAATAAATTAAGAGTTCTTTTCTTACTAAAACAAAGTAAACAGACGATGCTACTCAGCTGCAATGAGAAAGCTACAAGCAGTGCTTGCTTACAGAGCAACTTTCAGTCATATTTTGCGTTTTAATAAAATAATATGGCCACAGTAGGAAAAAGCTCTCCGTTTAAGAATGTTTGCTCGTTCGCTTGAAAGCTGAGCTGCTTTCTGCTAAACTAAAACTCCAGTGTTGCTACCTGCAAAAAACCAAATAGCTAAGTAGATTTGATCTAGTACAAAGGGAGTATCTAAAATGAATGAGCATATTCAAGGGCCTGTAATAAATATTAAAGCCATCTAGGCTCTTACGGCCATGTTCATATGCATTAATCTACACCCACATGCACGTTCATGCTAAAGCAAGTTATCGTTGCTGAGCTTTTTGCATGGAATCAAAATTTATTACAATCACTCAAAGCGATGTAAATCTTCATGTGCCGCTAAGAGGTCCTTGAAATTTTTGCGATAAGACAATCAGAAACGACTTCAAGTGCAGGCTGGCAAGAAATACTCATAAGAAGTGTGCTTAAGATTTACAGTTATGCAGAACGCAATAACTTACATACACATACTTTTACACAAGGTTATCCATTAAGCGGTTTCGAAAATAAATATAAATAAAATTAATGTAAAATCATTTTTTTTTTGAAATTAATTTTTTATTTGAAACTTTGAACTTTTGAATTATTTGCGAAACACTACATCATTCAAATGATCGCCTAGCAACAATTTGCAAACTTAGATCTGCGTGAGCTAATTTTCGACCATTTTTTAAAGGTTTATCCTAAGCTTAGAGGTAGGTGGAAGTCCTAGGGCAGAATACGACGAGGAAAAAAAACCGTTCGAGTCTTCGACTACACTTTCACTTGGGGCTTTGTAATCGCTGAAGCGATTTTCGGCCGCGCTAATTTTTGGTTTTGCGTCTTGATGTTTTTCCTGCAAACGGAGGGACCTACAGTTTATACTAAGTCACCTTCGAACGGCTGTCGTGGTTGACATTCCCTGCCGAGGGGCGACCGCAATTAGAAAATTTAGCAAATTTTTTTATTTAAATTAGTTTTCTATAACTTTTTTTTATGTTGGTCGCATCAGGATTTGAA